AGAAGAGGTCATCAGCAAAGAACAAGTGAGAAATAGAAGGACCATTTCTTTTAAAGCTTAAAGGCTTATAGTTTCCTCTGTTACTTTCAGCTTTTATGTATTGACCCAGACGCTCCATACAAAGGCAGAGATGAGTGAGATGAGTGAGAAAGGTATTTACTTTTTTGCCTCTTTCAAATCCACTATTTCAAGAAAAATTAGAGATGAGTGAGAAAGTTAGAGAGAGACACAATGAGTTTGCTAGCACTAGCAGTTTTGCCAACTCGAAATCTCCACCTAAAGGGGAAGGCTTGGGTTGCTGGACATCCAAGAAGAAGATAGATGTCCTAGAGAGAAGTACCTAGAAGTTGGATGATGACATTGTCATGAATAATGTCTTAGAGGAAGAAACTATCAAAACAAAACAAATCTCATACAAAGGTAACCTACTAGGTAAGGTACCTGCTATGGTTAAACCTAACTTCAACCAATTTATGAAGGAATGGTTATGTAAGGAAAAGTTGAACGAGCCAGTGCTTACCTGAGAGTAGAATGAACTTTTTGTTGCACTCCCTAAGATGAATGTTTTTGATAAACAACTAAAGGAAGTATGCCTACTAAGGAAGGATGCTTTATTCATTGCTCTTATGGGAAAAAAATGTTGGGTATAACTAATTATGAAAATAATTAATTAATATGGTTGATTTTCATTATAATTAATTATTTATGACGTAATATGTTTGGATACTGTTTTTCTGAAATTAATTTTAACAGAATCAAAGATGTTTGGATAATTTAATTAGAGTTAATTTTAATTGTCCAAATTACTATAAAGGACATTACTTTTTAAAATTAAATTATTAATAAATTTGTATCTAATATTATTAAATTTGTTAAATTTTATTTCAGAAGTAAAATATATTATTTAAAAGGAAAATTAATCATTTGGTCCTTATAGTTTTGACCTAATTGTAACTTACTCCTTGAACTTTGACTCATTATAACTCAGTCCTTAAAGTTTTGGCTCGATTGTAAATTAGTCCTTGAACTTTGTCTCATGTAATTTAGTCTATAAAGTTTTAACTTCTTAAATATTGGTCCTTATATTTCAAAAAAAACTATAAAGATTAAAAATATTTTAAAATTTATTACTAATACTTTAAATTATTAAGCCTTTTTAATCTTTATAAATATTATAAATATTAAAAGTTTAAAATATTTTTAATTTTTATAATTTTATTTTTTAAAATATATAGATCTATATTTAAAATGTTAAAACTTGAGGAACTAAATTGTAAGAGGCAAAGTTTAGAAACTGATTTATAACCAAGTCAAAACTTCAGGGACTAAGTTATAACGAGTCAAAATTGAGAGACTGAATTACAACTAGATCAAAACTACAAGGACCAAATGATTAATTTTTCCTTATTTAAATTATATATTTGATTAATTATAAAACTTAAACTATATTTATATTAACAATTTAATTTACGTAAATAAATAAATCAATATATTTTAGTTCAAATAAATTCAATAAAAGAAAAAAAATAATTTTTAAATACCAAACATTAATTTTACAATAACTAATGAAAATGATAATATTCAAATTGATCTCTAATAATATTACGGATATAAGTCAAATCTGATGAAGATGTTATGGATAATGATAAGGAGGAATATTCATCAATGTGATGATCTTTCTGATCCTCATGCTCTATTTGATCTTCCCTTTCATGACACATAAAATCAAAATTAGAATTAGATTGTCTTTTAATGAAATTATGTATCACCATTGATGCAACAACGATTTGAACATGTATATCATAATCGTAGTTAGGCATATTGCATAAAATTGCAAACCTATTCTTCCAAACTCAAAATATTCTTTCTATTGTGCACCATAAACTTGAATGAAAATGATTAAAGACTTCATTATTATTTACAAATTTAGTTGATCTTCTAAAATTAGAAAGATGGTAGCGTTCCCATCTATACGGACCAAGATATCCATTTGGTATCGAATAGTTGGCATCCACCAAATAATATTCATCTTATAAAAAAAGAGATTATTATCAATGTTTGTAAGTTGAAAAGTCCAACATAAATAAATTAAACCAACAAACATACTTGAAGGCAGATGTGAAAAATTTATGGACTGAGTTGTCAAAGCACATTCAAAAATGTGAGCATTATGTGTAACACCCTCCCATCCCGCCAAAACAAAAGTAAAGCACATGTCCCAATCACCATTACATTTTGCATTGGGATTCCTTTTCTTCTAATATATTTTGATTTTTCAACAGCTAAGATCATACATGGAATATGTGTACTACCATACATGTTTTATTTTGTTTGACAGTGACGAAAGAACCTGTCTTATGGTTTAATATATTCCATATAAGTTTAGAGCAAGCTATTAAAACTTTATGAAAATGTCTATGAATAGTCTCTCCTAAGTGTTGAAATCTTTCATATGCCATCCTATTTCTCAACCCATGTCCAATTGTATTTAAAAATATTGCAACTATTTCTTGTACTCTCATTCACCTAGTATCTTTTAGTCCATACCATACCAATTCACTGCAGTATTGATTAAACACATATAGTTCCATTCTAAACATTTCATAGCAATGAATTAGGTGTCCTTCTAAGATTTCTTTCACCCACAAATGACCTGTATATTTACTATTTCTTCGTGGCTCTTTACACAAATGTTTTGTTGCATACAACCCAATTGAAGCACTAACTTTTTGGGCTCTTTTTAACCTTTTCATCTGACTCTTCGATACTCCTTACTACCTATAGCCAAACACATAAATAACATGTGCACTTAATTTCAATTATAAATATATCTAAATAATTTAACCATGCAAATATCAATAACTTTTTCACATCATTAAAAATACTTCAATAGCATATATAAAAAGCACATAAATATTTCAAAAAGCTACATAAGTCAAATTTAACAACATAATACAAATATGTCAAACTAATTTTTAACTAAGATAATATGTTCATAACAAGTTTTAAAACCCCTCATAATCAACCATTATTATAACACTCATATCTCAACCACTCCAACACAATCTCTCTGTCATCCTTCATGGTCAAAAACATCACCCTTACCTCTTGGGACATGAAGAGTGACATGTATTGTGAAAGCTAACGATTGTCAGCTGCCACTTCCTCCCTTTGTTTGACTACAGACATGACTTGAAGAATTGATGTTTCCTTGGCCTCTTGGTATTCTTCCTTTATTGTTTAAGCTATCACACTCATTGCCTATGTTATTTGACTTGTACTAGGTGCCTTGTTCTTTTTCCTACTGCTACTTGATAAGTGCATATTCTATAATTAAATATGTGTAGATTTTAATTTGGATTTGATTATATTTGTTAAGATTTCATATATATTTAATTAAAATTTATATATTTTTCTCCTGCCACTTAATTATCAAATAAAAAGAAATTTTAATACAAAATCTGCTCATATATTTCTTTTTTTTATTTTGTACGAAAACAATAGGTTAAATAAAAGAAGAAAAGAAAAAAAGAATATATATATATATGTCGCACTCGGAAATGCGACGCGGACGGCGCGAGAGCAGAGGATCTGACCTTTGGAAGGGAGACCGGAGAAATGGGAGTCGCCACCAAGATTTTGAGGAAAATCTCAGAAAACCATTTAAAGGTGGATAAGGATGGTCTGCAAAAATAGAGAACAGGTTCGGGAGTCGATTGAGTATGGGGAAGGTGTTAGGCACCCCACAACACCCGTTCGTCAGAACGGTTACCCGAAGTTTGTTGTGTTATATTAATATGGTTTTAAAATTATTCTAATTATCCCTTTTATATTCATGTGTTTGATATAACAATGATAAGAATTAAGTGAGAAATATTTATTTATTTACGAGGAGGACTTGACTTAGAATTTGACTCTGAGGCCTACGTACCCTGTGATGGGGATCAAAGTCCACGTAGTTCGGGCTTAAAAGTTTGTTAGTGAAAATATATATTTTTTTTGAAGAGAAATTAATTAGAAACAATTCACCATTTTGCAAATAAAATAATTTTTGAAATTTTTTGATATGTGTGTTTTAAATTGCAAAAAGTAATTTAATTTCAATTATTTTCTCAATTTTTGAATTTTTGGAAAAGAAAAGGATTTAAAATTATTTTTTTATATTTTACGATTGAGAATTTAATCGCAGTTCCAGTAGAGCCTTATTAGCTCATACGATAATGCAATCATTCTAAATATCTGTAAAGATTTCAAAATCTCTCACAATAAAAGAATTAAATTTATTTATATGTTAGTAATAATTTATTCAGGCATGCATATATATATTTTTAGAGAATTTTAATCATCATACCTGCATAGCCTTATTGGCTTATACAATAATATGATTATCCTAAATATCTGCGGAGATTCAAAATCCTCACACCATAAAGGATTAAATATTATATACGTTTTTTTAAAAATATTTTTATACGTAATTATATTCTTTTCATTTTACAATATAAAATCTTAATTGCTATACCTATGAAGTCTTATTGACTTTCACAGTAAGACGATTATTTTAGAGGTCTATAGACATTCAAAAATCTCATATGACCAAAAGATTTAATATATTAATTTAATTAATTAATTTTATTATATAACAAATATTTAATTTTATTTACAAAAATTCATTTATTTATTTACTGAATACAAAGTGATAATCACATCGTCTACGAGGATTTATTATCCCACACGATGATGTACTTAATTTAAACCTCAATAAAGATTTTTGAAATCTCTCATTAGACTTAAATATTTTATTAATTTAAATTATATATAAAAAAAGAGTTAATTTTAATGATGGGCCTTTGAAACTCATATTATTATATATAAAATTAATCTCCATACTTGCGAAATCTTATTGATTTTCACAATATAGGATCATCTTGTGGGGATTTAAATTTTCCCTTATGATATGAGTTATTAAAAAATACATTCGATAGGTAATCAAGATTTTTAACTTAACAGAATCTAATTTATAAAAGTATGTCTAAGTTTTAATTATATATATCCATCAGCTTCAACTACAGTATCTTATAACAAGCTATGCATATATTGAGGCTAGGAAATGATATAATGTAAGGCTGTATAAAGTTATGAAAAACCTGTACCAAAACCTGAATGAAGTCGGTGGATCTTTCTGCAATTCCTTGAGCTCCTTCAAGATGTGCTACGAAGCCATATCACTTCCTCCAACTGATGGACCAAATCAGAACCTATACATTACTGGCAGACGAACCCGCGCAACTGAGGGAAGAAGATGATGATCTCGTTCAATACCCACGTGCATATGCATGCTCCTGTTTCTGCATTTCTAGCTCACTCATTTTCATCCAGAACCTGTGCTCTGTTTTCATCCCGAACTCGTGTGAGTGTGCATGCATGCATTTGTTTTTTTTCTTCTCGCTCTCTTGTTCACAGTTTCCAGTCTCTGTTTCTTTCTTTGCATTCTCCTCCAGCTTCTGGTCTCTCTCTCATTTTTTTTCTTTCTCCGTGTTCTCTCTCGTTCAGCTTCTCTTCTCCGTGCTCTCTTGCTCTCCTTTTCTGTCTCTCTCGAACTTCTCCTCCCTCTGTGCTCTCCTTTTTTGCTCGGTCTCTGTTTTTTTTAAGTCTCTCCTCCCTCTTTCTCGGTGCTCTATTTCCTTATTTGTTGTACTCTGTTTTTGCTTCAGTTTTCTCCTCTCTCAGTCTCTCTCTCTCTGTCTCTTTCAAGTCTTCTCTTTCTCTGTTTTGACGTCCCTGGTTTTTCTTCTTCGTTCTCATGCTCTCTCCTTCGTTTCTTCTCTTTTTCTGTCATTTCTTCCCTCTCTTTTCTCTGCTATGCTTATCCTCCGTTTTTGGATCTGTCCTCGTAGCTTTCTTTACTCTGCTCAATCCTCCTTCTCGTGACTGGTGCAGAGAACAGTGTCTATCCTTTTTCATCTGCTCCTCCTCCCTTTTTATGCTTCTTTTATTCCTCTTCGGTGCTCTTGTTTTCTATTTTTCTACACTTTCCTTCCCTCCTCCTGTGCTCTGTTTTTTCTTCTATTTTCCGTCCGTCTCCTCTCCAGTTTTCTGTCCTTCTCTCGTGTCTCTACTTCTCATGATCTCTGTCTCTGTCCGAGCTTCTCGTGCTATTTTCTTCCTCCTTCCCTCCGTCTCTATTTTCTCATGTATATCTCACTCGGTCCCTCTCCCCAGTTCTTCGCGTGTTCTCCGTCTCTCCCTCCTCCAGTTTTCCTCCTCCTCTTTCCTCGGTTTTCTGCTTTCTTTTTATGCTTCCACTTGCATGCGTCCTGTGTTTTCTCGTTCTGTTTCTTTTTCTGCTGGCCGAAAGTGTATGTACGAATGTTGGTTGCTTGCTGCTCCTTCTGCTCTGTTTTGCTGTGCATGCATGCGTCTAATCTCTTTCTGCATTTCTGTGTTTTTTCTGTGATCACAGCTTGCTTTCAGGGTATTGCCTTCTGCTGTGCGTGTGTTTCTGGTTCTCCTTTCTGCGTTTTTTGGCTGTATGGCCGAAAGCTCTCTCTCGTCTCTAACTTGTTCCACGTGACCAGTACTTCTCCTTTTTCTTTGCTTCGCATTTTCGTTTTAATCTTTCTGCCTCTGTGACTCTGGTTGCTGTTCACGCGTTCTCTGTGCACGTTGGTTTAAGGCTTTTTTTGGCTGTGATGAAATTACAACATCTCACCCCAGCCTTTAATTAATTAATTTTTTTTATTAATTTTTATTATTATTTTCTTTGAAATTAGATTAAGAATATATTATTTATTTTTTTAAAAAAACAGCAAAATTCAAGGAGAGAAATTTGAATATAGTTGGGTCTTAAAAAATTAATTCCCACTATCTTTAAATGGTTGGGGTAATTTGAGAGAGATTTTTAAAGATTTAAGCAAGATTTTTTTTGATTTTGTTAAAATTATATTTTTTTAGAAATATAATCCTAAAAAAAGATTAAATTTTATTTTTGTTTTTTTATATTTTTTTTGAGTTATTTATTATTATTTTAAAAAAATGCCCGGAAAAAATACGGTGTTCACAATATATATATATATATATATAGTGATGGAACAGCTGCTGCACGAGGGAGCAAACACATATGGGGGGGGGGGAGAGAGAGAGAGGCAAAAGATCATGGGAGATGATACACTGGACATCATTTATATTCATATATAAATATATATTAGAATCTCACATCGATAAGAAATAAGAGAAAGAATCTCCACTTTAACTATAAATACTCCCCTCCATCAAGAGAGAAGAAATCCAATCATTTATCTAAGTACCTCAAAAATTTTCTCTGAGATATTAAAAACTCATAGAAGCATTTTAAAGGCTAAAAGTGAAATCATTGAAGAGTTTTACAAATTATAATTATTTCTTTTCTGCTTTTTAATTTTCTTTGTGATCTTTTTTTATGATTGGGGATTTTAAAATAGTATTATTTAATTTTATTATGTGTTTTTAAATTACCTAGTTGGGATAGGGATGTAGCCCAACTGGGAAGCTAATTTCTATTTTTTTTTACTCTTTATATTTATATTTATAATATTTTTATTTTTTCCAATTATATTCATTTCTCTTATTCTTCATATTGACTTAATGACTAGCCACCATTTAATCAAATCTATAGATAATCGCAATGGATTGGAAGGTGAAGAAAGAATCTAAATCTAGAAAAATAGACATAAATAACTAGGCTAGGAATAGTTATAGAAATTTATGATGACTTAAACTATAGCTTCACAGTTTAATTAGTTGCTTGAGTATCGTGAGAACGAATTCAACGCTAATTAAAAAGGGACTAATAATTCAGGAGAATATTAGGACATTTTAGGAATAGTTGTTACTATAATTAATCAGAGTCAACTCAGAGGATAGAAATTAACAATCTATAAGGTGAATTTTAAACCCCAATGCTTCAAGTAATTGTGTTTTCATCATCATTATTTTATTAATTTATTTTTATTATATTTTAATCAAATTATTCATTTTATCTATTTTTCTTAAACTATTAATTATTTAAATTAGTAAAAGTACAACTTCCCTATGAGTTCGACACCTGAAATACTCCGGATAATTTATTACCGTGATTTCGTACACTTGCGAGAGCGATCACTACTACTTTCACCCCTCTTTCTCTTACCATTGCCTCTACTCAAAGTTCTTTGAGTAGTATTCAAAACTATTCTATTGAATTCACTGCTTATACTAGTAATAGTTTGTAAAATCTTATCACTATCTCCTAAACTTTCTTCTAAATCAATACCCTCATTTGCCATACTTGAGCAACATACACCTTCGTCCTCACGTTCATTCCTATTATAAAAATTAGGCAAAACTCCACTCAAAGGTGCCCATGCTCCAAGTCCATTGGCCGTACCTTGAAACAATTTAGTTAATTCATAGGTAAAAAGTAGTCCTTTATTTCTAAATTTTTCATATGATAGATTTTCTTGCACATACATTACCAATAATATTACATAATACACATATAAATATAATAAATACATCTTCTCACATAATAATAACATCATACCAATATCTTTTTCTCCCACCTGAGATTTAAGTGACAGTTTTTTTACATAATCTCATCCATATGGAGCATCCAGCATATTCTTTGCATAATCCCATCCTAATCCTATCTCGTTTGAAACCAAGTTATACCAAAGCAGCCACTATTCTCATATTATCCCATTGGTTCTTGAATTGCTACTTGCCATATTTTTTTCCAATCTTCTCATTGAAGCCAGAAATTATATTTTGTCATCCTGCTTTAATAAAAGATACTACCATTTCTTTGCGATTTCTATGCTTGATCTAAACATCTGTCAATAAATATTCTAATATTTCTCAAGTGCCATGAAGCTTTCGACTTATCATTACTCATTATGCTATATAAAAATAAATTGTATGAGAATATAAAAATACATTGTAGCTCTAAATTTAAACTTGAATATATTGATGAATGTAAAATCACAACTTTACAAATACCAAATTCAAAGACTGACACATTGAAAATATTTGGATATACAAATATATATTATATGAAAGCAGGCAAAAGAAAAAAAGAAAAAATTGTCACTTAAATCTCAATTGATGACAATAAGGCTTAAACTAAAGCTAACAAAATATTCGAAAGTTCCTATTGTCTTGATATTATTATCTGGACCAAAGCACTTAAAATGCCCTATGATTTCTCAGGATGTCTGGGACAATTGTAAACTAGACTGATCTAGAAAGATAGATATCGGTGACAATGTTTGGGTCAATTTGATAGCACGTTTCTCACTGTTAGTTTTATCCATTACCTTATTATGATGCCCGAAAATAAATGCAACTTTAGTTTTTATTGTATTAGGACCAACTAGGAAGCAATAACCATTACATGGCATTTAGCATCTATGTGACGCTAGTTCGCTAATATGGTAATATATATGATGAGTAGAACCATGTATCAATTCTCGAAAATGGTGATTATTAATTTTAGTAAAATGTAAAATTAAAAATTCAAATATTTTTTATAAGTTTAAGAATATTAATGACCATTCTTTTAAAATTGTAAGATTGATTGATTAATTTTATTTTATAATTAGGGTAAGGATTAGAGGGAGCACTGGCCTATGTGCCGAAAAGAACCCTAGTTCCACAGAAAGTGTGGGAGACCATTTAATGCAGGCCTAAGCCAAGCCACTCAACAGTACTACTTTTGCTATTCTTCTTCATTGATCATTATATTCATATTCAATAAGTTGTTCTTTCTGCAGCAAAGGGATTAGTCACTGCGGTGGATACCTGGGCAACCAATAAAAGAACAATTGTTCTCTCTTGTGCTGGTATTGTTCATATTCAAGAAGTTCTTATAGAGAAAGATCTCCATGCTTTAAACGTTCACTCACATTTGAAAGGAAACAAAAGGCATCAAAATTGCGAGAGATCAGATCTTAAGATATAAAACTGCAGCAAGAGATGACTTCCCTAATCTGCCCATACCACAAATGCCTGCAATTTAAACTTCATCATCTGAACCTAAATCCAAAAGCTTTTCTACTTCTTCCACGCGTGGTTGCATCCCAACAAAGCTAAAAGAGCCATAATATATTTCATCTATCTTTCTCTTGACCTCTCTAACAATTCCCCCAATAGCTAATGACCTGGAGCTTCAAAAAAAGGGGGAAAACAAAAAGATACAAAGCAAAGTAAACCAAAGCTCCAAATTAAACAAATTTGTTCCCTTCAGATCAGGGTGTGAAGGAAAAGGATCCTTTGCTATTGTTTTGGTGCGGTTTTTACAATAACATATAGATTTAATCTAAATAGACCAAATTATATACTTTATCCATCCCTATTTTGTTTGTCCTCATAGGACTAAACACACAGACAAAAGTGGACAGAAAAACTATGCAAAATGTAAAAATGATTTTGTTTTCTACTCGCCCCACCAAAAAACAAAAGGGCTCTTGAATGGGCAAATTGAAAATCGAGATGTTGAGTATTAGGGTCCATGAACTTGATGGCGTGTATGACCATCCAATTCTTCCTATGGCTGGAGAAGCATGTTCGTTCACACACACTCTCAATTATAAAATCAATTAATCTACCTCAAGTTTGTTCACACATACTCTCTCTCAAAAGATTTTAAAAAACAGAGCAATTACATTGGTTCTCTTTTGCAAGGATTTCGTACCAGAAAACGCTCGAACTCATCAGAAACACCACAAAAACTTAACAATGAAATCAAAATTACAAGTCACAGCTATGCTCGAAGTCAGCTAACGGAAATTTGCACACCATCCTAAACAAAGTCGCGAGAAACCAAAAACAACCAGAAATAGTCTCGACATCACACTTCACAGAAAAATTTGTACACCATCAAAAAAATTTGTACGCAACAAAACAGAGTCACCACTTCTTTGAAAATAATGGTTGGAGAACATCATTTACCTTGCAAGAGGCTTAGCCGGCTGATGCTTCACTCAAACAGATCGGAGGGGATCGGAGACGAACAATACACTGGACGATGAGCAGATCAAAGATGGGGCGAGTAGATCAACGCAACACTGACCTTCTTATACTATGGCCGGAGATTATTGCTGCTGGTCGTAGATCAAAGATGGCAACAGCAACCAAGTCGAGGATGGGAGGAGGATGCCATGGAGATGGAGCACACAGATTTGCACACAGGCAGAGATCATTGCCGCTGGCCATAAATCAGAGACAACGGACGATGACCAAGTTGGGGGTGGGAGGACGACGGCGGAGAGACAACAAAAGGAGCCGTAGATCAGGGGGAGAGAGAGACGTGAGACGAGAGATAAAATGAGAAATAAGAGGATACGTATAATAACACTAATGAAGGTAATATTGGCAGGTGTGAGACTCTCTGACAGATAATTAATATTGGTAATGGTAAAATTGAATTCAGAAGCTGCCTCTGCAAGCTTATTTTCAAATGTGATTTTGGCTCATTAATTGATTGTGCAAATTTTGCGCTGTTTGGGTAATTTTCTTCCAAAACATGATTTTAGCCCGAAAAATCAATTCTTTGTCCTATCCAAGCAGGTTGTAAGAGACAAACTGAAGTGGTTATGGGGCATAACCAACTTTGAGCTCATTGATACAGAAACTAACTACTTTGCATGGCGAGGCCTAGACATACAATTCTATCAATGAATTCTGAATAAAGGTCCTTGGGTTGTTAATGGTCATTGCTTAGATGTATAACGATGGAGTCTGAATTTCAACCCTTATAGCAACAAACTCAAGAAGCTGGTTTTTTGGGTCCAAATTCCCATCCTTCCCAAGCATTGCTCCACAGAAGAGTTTCTTTGGGAAGTAGGAAACCTAATTGGGAAATCCATGTGAGTTGATATGAACACTCTTTCATAGATGAACCAAAACATGATGGTTGAATGAGGAAGATATGCACGTGTGAGCCTGGAGATTGATCGAAATAAAAAGTCACACTTGAGATTTGTCTTTTAGAAGTAGGTAATTAATGTGGTTTATGAAGGCATTGATATCATATGCTTTAATTGTGGTATATATGGACATAAGAGAGAACCTCTGCTTGTAAATTAGAAAAATAAATTTGACCAAGGCCACGCCAACGACAAGTGTGCACCTCTAATGGTAATAGACTAGGTACCAAGGAATTCTTCGACCTACCCACACTACTGCAAAAATCTAGATTAAGATACCAAGAAAAATAACAATTATAAAACATGTCATTTATTTGATAGGTAGGTGATGCTTACACAATAAATGACATGTGTTTAAAAACTATCATTTATTAATTAATTAAGAATATATGACAAGTACTTGCAAACCTGTCACATAACGTTCCGAATTTTGGCTCCTTTTAAAGTTAAAAAATTAATATCAATATAAATAACGAGTGTTTGAAATACCCATAACATATGTGAATAACTATATATGACAGGTGTTGAAACACTCGTCATATATCCTTTTAGTTTCTCACCTTTCAAAAAAGTAAAAAAAAAAATTTATAGTATCTATGACAAGTGTTTGAAACACCCATCATATATAGTCATTCATATATATGATGGATGTTTCAAACACCCATAAGATATAGTGGAATTGATGATAGGCATTCAAATGCTCGTCATTTATTTCATTTTAAATAATTAGTTTCCTTTTCCTTTTCCAGTCTTGCGCCAGTAGGTTTTATTATCCTCTCTTCTTCACTAGCACACAATTGCCAAAAACCCCACAAAGTGCCTTCATTCCCATCATCGATCACCATCCACTGCCTCTGCCATGATTCCATTGTCATCTACGCCATCATTTGTTGTCGCTGTGAGTTTCTCATCACGTCTCAACCCATTTTCGTCCAATGTGTGCTTTTGTTTTTTTTCCCCATGTGTTTTCTATCTTTTATGCCATAAAGATCGAATGGAAAAAATGCACTCTTGTTTATTTTCAAACTTTGCTGCTTATTACACTGGATCCGTGGCCTATTTATACTAGAGTCATGGCCAAATGAAAACAAAAACAAAACAGCAAAATTAAAACGGGGGTTTTACATGTTACAAATGGGTTTTGAATGCTTTTAAATGGGGAACGTTTCAGCAACTTCATCAGCTTCCGTTTCTACCCTTTTCTATTTCATCCTCCTCGAGGTCGATAGAACTCACCCTTGAGTCAAATTCGGCATCATGATCAATGTAAGGAGATAGATCAGCAACATTGAAGGTGGCAAATACACCATAAGAACTAGGTAATTCAACCTTATAAGCATTGCTATTGATCTTTTGTACTATCTTGATCGGACCATTAGCTCTTGGGGACAACTTGGCGTTTGGCTATTTAGGAAATCGTTCCTTTTGTAAATGTATCCACACCAAGTCTCCTACCTTAAAAGTCTATTGTCTTTAATGCTTGTCACGTTGAGCTTTGTATCTCAAATTTTGCTTTTGGATTCACTCGCGAACTTGCTCATGCAACTTCTTAATTTTCTTAGCCCTTTAGTCAGCATCAAAGCTATATTGCTGCTTATCAAGTGAAGGGGTCAAGTCTAGTGGACTAAGGAGACAAGTGCCATAAACAACTTCAAACAGACACTTCCCAGTTGCTTGGTTGACAGAGTTATTATAAGCAAACTCAACTTAAGCAAGAATGAGATCTCACTGCTTCAAATTCTTCCTCATGAAACTACGAAGAAGATTACCAAGAATCCTATTTATAGCTTCAGTTTGACCGTCTATTTGGGGGTGATTAGCGCTGCTAAACTGGAGCTTAGTTCCCATCTTCTTCCATAGCGTCCACCAAAAGTGGCTGAGAAACTTCACATCACGATCAGAAGTGATAGTTTTAGGAATGCCATGAAGACGCACAATCTCCTTAAAGTACAAGTCTGCTACTTGAACAGCATCATTGGTCTTCTGGTATGGAATGAAATGGGCTATTTTTGAAAAACGATCGACAACTACCATGACAGAATCTTTTTTTCTTTGAGTCCGTGGTAAACTCAAAACAAAATTCATAGTTATATCTTCCCAAGGTGCTTTTAGAATTGGCAGAGGCATGTATAATCCAGTATTTTAACCCCTGGATTTAGCCAAATGATAAATTCTACATCTCTGTATATGCCTGTTGACATCCCGTTCCAGTCGAGGCCAATAAAAGTTCTCTTTCACTAGATCAACTGTTTTATCCCATCTAAAATGTCCAACTAATCCACCATCATGTGCTTCCAGATTATGGCTTCTCTTAAAGAACCCTATGGAATGCATAGGCTTTTGCCTCGAAATAGAAACCCGTCGTGTCTATAGAACTGGTGGAAAGGTTGATTTACAGTTGCTTCCTACACTCCACAAAAATTAGGGTCATTCTAGTACAACTCTTTAATAAAGTCAAACCCAACAACTTTAGTTTACAGTGTTGTGAGTAGCACATGTCAACGGCTAAGAGCATTAGCTATAGAGTTCAAAGTTCCAGCCTTATGCTTGATAAGGAATAGGTAAGACTGTAAAAGTTCACTCTAACGGGCATGTCTACGGCTGATTTTCTGCTGGGAATTCAAATACTTGAGAGCCTCATGATCAGAAAAAAGTATGAACTCTTTATTTAGGAGATAATGACTCCAATGTTAGAGAGTTCGAACAATGGCATAAAATTCTTTGTCATAGGTAGAATACCTAAGCTTGGCATCGTTGAGCTTTTTACTAAAAAAGACAATGGGATGGCCCTCCTGGCTTAAGACAGCACCAATGTCGGTGTTAGAAGCATCATAGATAACTTCAAACACTTGGTCAAAGTTAGGAAGAGCTAGGATTGGAGCTTCAGTCAACTTCTTCTTAAGATCCTCAAAGCTTTTTTAAGTGCAATCTGTAAGTAGTGCAGCAATTGAGCTAAAATTACGGATGAACCTCTTGTAGAAAGAAGCTAACCCATGAAAGCTTCGAACCTCCTAGATAGATTTTGGAATTGGCTAGCTGTTAATGGCTACAACTTTGCTTGGATCAACGCGAACACTCTTTACAGTAATGATGTAACCCAAGAACATAACTTTGCTGGTGAGAAAGGTGTACTTCTTGAGATTTGCATAAAGCTTCTATTCACACAAGGCTTACAAAACTTTCCGCAAGTGATCTAAATGCTCCTCTTGATTCTTACTATAAATTAGAATATCGTCAAAGTACACAACAACAAATTTGCCAATGAAGGGTCTCAATACCTGGTTTATCGGGCGCATAAATGTGCTAGGGGCATTTGTTAACCCAAAAGACATCACATTCCACTCATATAAGCCATCTCTGATCTTGAAAGCAGTCTTCCACTCATCTCTTGGCCAAAATTTAATTTGATGGTACCCACTATGAAAGTAAATTTTAGAGAAAGTAGTGGCAACATGCAATTGGTTTAGCATATCATCGAGTCGAGGTATCAGAAACTGATACTTAATAGTGATCTTGTTGAAAGATCGGCAGTTAATGCACATTCTCCAACTCCCATCCTTCTTAGGTACTAGAAGAATAGGTACAGTACAAGGGCTGACACTTTCTCGAACCAACCTTTTCTTCAACAACTCTTCAACTTGCCATTGGACTTTGGCATGTTCCTAGAGACTCATCCTGTAAGCAGGCTTATTAGGAATGACTGCTCCTGGAATGAAGTCAATGGCGTGCTGTATGTCTCGTATGGGAGGCAACCCTGGTGGTATCTCATCAGATATTACATTTGAAAATTCTGACAATAGCGGAATGACTCCTGGTAGATTGATCGACTCGTCGTTCACCTCAAACACCAGAATAAAACTCATTATTTGGGCTTCAAATTTTAACACCTTGAATTCCTCCTTAGTTATTAAAGACACTAATGGCTTAGAGGCACTAGATTCCCTTGAAGATTGGCTAATCTCACTGGGTGGTAGAGGCACTAGTATGAACTTGACACCATCTTTCGTAAAAGAATAGGTGTTTGCTCGCTCATTATGCATAGCATGTCGGTCATATTGCCATGGCCTCGCCAAGAGAAGGTGGTATGCATCCATAGGAGCAACATCACATAAAACTTCATCACAATATCGATTCCCAATGGAAAAGGTCATAAGGCACTGTTTTGAAACTTTTACCACATTCCCTTTGTTGAGCCAGTGAAACTTGTAAGGTTGCGGATGCTCTTGTGTTGGCAACTTCAATTTGTCTACCATGTAGTCAGGTACTACATTTTCACAACTACTACTATCAATAATGACATTACAAACTTTTCCTTGGGCCATGCAACGAGTGTGAAAAATGTTGTGTCATAGCCAAGGTTCTTCTTTGACTACTGTTGTATGCAGACTTCGTTTAAGCACCAATGCTTCTCCTTGATCAGCAAGTGTGACCTCCTTATCATATATGGGATCAGTGCTGTAGAACTTAGCGTCCTCCTCATCTTCTTTAAGTGCTTCATATCCTGATCCTTCCCTAATGGCGACAACCCTTCAAGTAGGACAGTCTGCAGTAATGTGGCCAAATCCTTGGCATTTAAAGCATTTAACTGCTTTGAGCCAGATTCCTTGGTAGCATTAGATGTGGTTTGTACATAGCGGTAGGTTATAGCTTGCTTGATGTAACACTCTCAAATTTACAAATCGATTTTTCATAAATTATTAATTGAACAAATCTTTTTTTTTCATTGAACCCTTATCATACCCTTATCATGGTAGAAAAATTTCTACCATGATACATCCAAGACAATATACCACAGGTCTTAAAATATCTCAAAAAGCAATTAGAACCATGAGGGACAGACAGGATCCTCATGGCATGATATTCAAATCAGGTCATGAATCAAGAGGGACAAACATAATCCTCTTGGTCATATAAATGCATTTAATAAAAAGGATTAGAGTTTACATGTTGTCAAAATAAGATATGTCCTAGGTTGGCACAAGATACATTGCATAATACAAAATGAGAGGTAACATAAAAGATGGTGTCTCATACATCAAAGTTACACCTCTGGTGCTTTCTCGGCCGGACTTGCTCCTGTAAAAATGTTAACCACGGGGAATGAGACTTAAAAGTCCCAGTAACCAAAAATTAATATGTAATGATGCATGTGGATGTAACTAATCATGCGATTGCTAAGTGGGTACACAAAATATTTAACCAAACAATATTTTCAAACAAAGCGAACAAGTATTTAATTGCATGACTGTACCTTATATCCTCCTTTCGCCATGCTCAGACGCCAAATCACCCCGGCCAAAGGTAAGTTGGAACAAGCGACACGCCACTTATTGGGTCCAATGAGGGCTTACCACATGGTAATAATTAACCAAACAGAAATTCCCATTAACACCATATATTAAAATACCCTGATAAGTCATGTATCATTCAAATATCCAAATAGGAATATATCCGAACAATAATATCTCATCATGATAAACAAAAATAAATTTTTGACCCACTTGACAATAATTTCAAACAAGTATGTAACAGTATTTATTTTCAATAATTCATAATTCATAATTTTTCCAAACAATAAAACAACACTTAACCAATCACATACACACCCATCACAACACATTAATAATGGTTACCTTGTGTCTTGAATAACAAGTTCTCCTTCACAACTTCTCTTTCACCACTATTTTTGTCAACACAATCTACATAGTTATTTCATAATACTATATATTAATTTTACATTAAAATAAATAACTCTAATTTAAAGAGTTAGAAAATCTTAGATCTATAATCCATATTAACACTAATTTAAGATTTATACCTCATTTAACTTCCCAAATTCTTTTCTAAAATTCTCGTACCCTAACAAACTATTTTTAAGCCTCAAATCACTTCTAGTATCACAATTTCATCCTTCTATATTCTAAAAATTCGTCTAAAAATAAATTAAAAATTTCAGAATTATCCTGAAGCCTCAAATCACCTTTCTATAACCTCAAAAATACCTATTCATACTTAAATAAATATTTAATAATCAGAGGTTCATCCCTACATCTCAGATTCAACATAAATTCAACCATATAGATTTAGAGTTTAACTCAAAAATTCTTAAACATGAGTTTCAACCTCAAAAAAATATTCTATAATATTTATTATATCCCTAAGAATTTCAACCTATATTTTTAATCCATCATATCATCAGATTAACTATCCTATAGAAAATCCTAATCAAAATATTTGCTCTATTCTACAAAATAATCATATCATTAGAAAGCTAATACTATTTAGAAAATAACTATAAAATTAATTTTGTAATTAAATAAATTTTTAAATGCTAATCTAAATAGGAAAGTTGGAGCATACCTGAAGAAAAAGAAAATAATCCTCCCTTGCGAGAACACACCGAGCAACATGAGAGGAAGAGAGAAAACTAATATAAAAATGAGATTGTGGGTCACACAATTATATTAAAAAAACTATAAGTTTAAATTTAATTATTCAAACTCTTGGGCCAAAAGTTGCAATTTCCTTCAAATTGCATCTTAGCCCTTCATGCTTCCTAATGCACATACCCCCCTCCTTTTTATATATAAAGGCACCTCTTCTCTTCCCATATCTAACCATGTGGGACTTAGAAATAACAACCTTCCACCTTTTTTTTTGTTCCTTCCACCTTCTCTCTCTCTATTTTTTTTTACTAACACACACACATAAAAAAATTATTTATATATTCTAAATTTTAAAATTATATCTTAAATAAATATTTCTTATGTGGTTTTAAATTTAAATTTTTTTAATTAATAATTAAATACCTAACCATAATATTATTTCCGAATAACCTCAAATAATATAAATTCTTATTATTATCATTTTTTTATCCTCAATAAAACCTAATTCCACAATTTCTTTATTATTTAAAAATCAGGATGTTATACTTGAGGAGTTGGTCTGCTGAAATTCTGCCTTACGGCCTTCTGGATAACCCTTAGAAGACAAAGGTTGAAAAGTGGATCTCTTGAGTGTCTGCTTCTCAACACGCATGGCTAGACGGATGACATCATCCAAGGTCCAATATTGCTGAAGTTGGACTGGATGACTAATATCTGTGTTTAAGCCTGAAGGTATCGGGCTATTGTTTGTTCCTCCTTATCTTGAATGTCACACTTCATCATGAGTTGTTCAAACTCCCTAGTATATTCTTCTACAGATAAAGATTTATGTTGAAGATTTTGCTGCTGGATAAAATTATCTTGGTGGTAATGATCTGGCAGAAATTTCTTGGTGAGCTGGTGTTTCATTTTCTCCTAGGTCTCAATCGTGCGCTTTCCCTCACGTTCTCGCTTTTGTCTGAGGTTTTCCCACCAAATAAAAGTATGTTTCTTGAGTTTGAGGGTGACAATTTTGACTTTCTGTGCTTCTAGAATCTCCTTATATTCAAATACTCGTTCAACAGTTTGCAACCAATCTACAAACTCATTTGGCTGGAGTCTTCCCTCAAATTCAGGAATGTCTACCTTGATGTCATTAGGGTAGAATTGTTGTTGTTGTGGATGGCGGTGATTGTCAGTGGATGACGAACTGCTGCTTCCCGAATCTCCCTTTAAGTTTTCTCTGTTGTTGTTTAACAGAGTTCGCTACAATTCCATAGTGGCTTCCAACTCTCATATCCTACGTCTCATCTCTTCCATCTCAACCTCGTGCACATGCCTATGTCTTAGAGGCATTTTGGATAGATGTCAAGACTAGGGATATTAGAAGATTGGGGTGCAAATGGAAATGTTGAAAGGATATAGAAGTAGAATGGGATTTTTAGAAAGGATAGGGGCAAAGTGGGAATTTTGGACAGTCTAGGCGTAAAATGGAGATTCTAGAAGAATGGGGGTCAAACTGCAATTTATGGAAAATATAGGGGGTCAAAATGGGATTTAGGTAAAATAAAAGGGCAAAAATGTAATTTCAAAAAAGTTTAGGGGTCAAAATGAAATTTTGAAAAATTTTGGGGTCAATATGAAATTTCATAAACCTAAGGGGTAAATATGGAATTATGTAAATATTTGGGGCAAAAAATGTAATTTCTGGGAATATGGTTGACTGGGTATAGTGACGCAGTGACAGTGACACGTGGCAGTGAATGATTGGCTTACCTGTCGTTTGACCAGTCAGATAGATGACGTGGCAGATGACGTCATCGTCGTCTACTTTGGATTGGCGCGTGTGGCACGTGTGAAGACGGCGACGGCGCGTGGGATTCAGTCGGCAGCACGTGGAGGTGCGGGTGGATGTTTCCAGCGATGTGAAACCTCCTGTTCCACGTTTTCGGACCTCCTGAGGGCGATAGTGACGTTAGTTTCTTGAGAAAATGTTCGAAATGTAGGATTCGAACAAGTCAAGGACTCTTCCTCCGAGTTGCTCTCTCGTCCGACATAGTTCCTCAACTCTACCTCACTCTTTCACTCTCTGGACCAGCTCTGATACCAAAATGGCATAGAGATCGAATGGAAAAAATGCACTCTTGTTTATTTTCAAACTTTGCTGCTTATTACACTGGATCTATTGCCTATTTATACTAGAGTCATGGCCAAAAGAAAACAGAAACGAAATAGCAGAATTAAAACGGGGGTTTCACAAGTTACAAATGGGTTTTGAATGCTTTTAAATGGGGAACGTTTCAGCAACTTCATCAGCTTCCATTTCTACTATTTTCTATTTCATTTTATTTCAATGTACTTTGATTTCATGATCATGGGAATGATTTATTAATTGTTTTGGAATGTGTTATTGATTTATTTTACTTGTTTAACTTTCTATTCATTGTTGCTTGAGTTTGGTAATGTAGGTTGTCGAAAGTTGATTTTAGCAATGTGGATTGTCGAGAGTTGATAATGTTTGATGTATTCTTAGCTTGAGAATGCAAATGGAGGTTATAGATAGCCTTAGAATGATTGTGGGAATAAAAATGAATGATTGAAAGATATTCATGATAATTGTTTTTTCTATGAATTTTGAACAATTTTTTTTTAAAAGTTTTCAATTTAAATTACATACCTTATTTGATCTAAGTTATATCATTAGACACTATATATTAAAATGTGCTAGTGTGTCAAATTTCATTACAATTAGAGTTGACATAATATTGAGGGGCATGGAAATTTGGATTACCCACATCACTTTTAAAAGTGATGTGGATAAGATTATCTAAAAGTGATGTGGACAAGATTATCGACGTCACTTATTTAAAAAGTGACGTAGATAAATG